TACAATTTTTTTCGTATATTTACGAAAACATTAAAATTATTACATTTATTTTGAAAATTTATATTATTTATTTTTTTCGATTTATAATTTATATTTTTGCTTCTTTTTGATGGTTTGTTGTATGTAATATCTTGTTGATTTATGCAAATTTTCGCATGTTTTCGTATGTTTTTGATTTGTCGTTCATAAATATTCATAATTTTACGTATGTATTTACTAGTTTTCGACTATTTGCATTTTGCTACATTTAAATTTACTAAGCCGTAAATGTTCGTAATTATTACTCCTATGTAATACTCTGAAATTCTATAGCGTAAACTTTCGTAATTATTACCCCTACGTAATACTCCGAACTAATCGTAAGTTTTTCGTAAGTTTACGCTCACGGAGGTTTACATATATTTTTTTTTGCTGATGCCAAGAATAGATACAGACACAAAAATTCACATAGGCATGGACACAGACACAAAAGTTTGGCATAAGTTGGCATAGGTATGAGTATTAATACAAAAATGTAACCAAGAACTTTTATAAGTAAAGATGTAAAGTGCCAGGTATAAGTTATCACTTAGTGCTTGCAATATTTGTGTCTGTACTCTTACAGTGTCTGCTCGTACTCATAATGTGTTTAAAAATTTTGTATCTAGGAACACAGACATAGCTCAAGGTACTAATGCCAGCCTGATGTTTAATTTGCCTAGTATAGGCATTTGCAGATCTCTAATTGTAGCCAGAAAATATTTGGCTTACAATTTTAAGTCAACTAGAGAGTGATTTTAGTAAAACATAATATAGATTACTTATAGAAATTGGGGTTTTACAAATATAGTATGTATACATTTAAAACTTTTTTTTTACTAAGTTAATTATTTTTTTGACTTAAGAGACTTTTGTAGAGCTTGTTAAAACATATTTAATAGTAGTTAAATTATCTAAATTGGTCTGGTAAATGCCAAGATATCTTTAAAAACATTTTTTAATTATGTAAACTTCTTTGTAAAACAATAGTATTGTTTAATTAATGATTCACAAGTTATCTGGATAAAATGATCTGCAATTACTAAGTTAATATGATACAAATTAATTAATAAAAAAGCAGATTTGTAAATGTACAGATTTTTTTAAATACATATCAAATATATATTAATCAAACCCATTTGCTTACTAATTACCAAAAACCTAATCTACTTGCCCACTAATCACCCAACACCAAAGATACCAAAAACCAAACCCACATATCCAACACCAATACCCATCCACGATTCACTCAACACACTAATTACTCCAATTTTACTGGCCCACTAAATTATCCAAAAACCAAACCCACTTGCCCCTAATCAATCACCCAAAAACCAAACCTATCCACCTTACACCTATCCAAAGATCAAACTCACTCGTCTCACACCCACCAAAGATCAAACCCATCTACCCACACCTATCCAAAGATCAAATTCACCTGCCTTTAGGACTTACCTATTAACTATAAAAGGAATACTTTTACCATTTCTTGTAATATTCTAGATTTTAAAATTGATTGGTATAGTTGGTAATTGTTAAGAGTAGTAGTTAGTATTCAGGAGTCTTTTTTTTAAAAAAAAAAACAACAAAAAAAAACTATGAAAATAGGATTTTGACTTCGGTAATTAATAAATATATATAATTATAGAATTTATTTAATATTCACCAGTAGTGAAATTCACTAGTGATTATCATGCATAATTATACATAGCAAAACAAACAAATACTATATTTCTTATTATTAGAATAAAAGTTAGATTTAATATTAGAGTTAGAAACAAATATATTATATAGTAAAATTTTATAAGAAATTTTTTTTGTTAAAGCATCAAAAGTAGTTTCATAAGCAAAATTTTGAGTTATTAGTTTTTTTTAAAAAATTTCTTATTATTGTTACACAAAATTGTTTTGCATGTTACACCTGATCTTCAATTCTAATTGGATTGGTAAAATTCACCACTAGTGAGCATTAAAACCATCCATAATTATAATAACCTTTTATTATTTAATTTAGAAACAAAGTTAAAATAGCATTCTTATAAAAATTTGCATTTTTACAAAAATTAAATAAAAAAAGATAAATTGATTATAAAAAATTGTTATGTCTCATGTGAATATATTATTAAACTGTTCTGGTTTGCTTCCAAATTTTGGTTTTGATTTTATTATCATAATTTTAGTTGCAGTAGGTTATTTATCAAAATCTCTATCCTTATATTTCATAACTAATTCAATATACACTAGTTCAAATGAAAAAATTATACACTAGTTGAAATTATATCAATAGGCTGCTGAATATACTGAATTCATACTGGTTTTTGTTGGCATTCTGTCAGTATTCTGCTAATATTTAGCTAGCAAACTAGCTGAATATTGATTGAGCTTGCAGAATACTTGCTGACAATTATCAGTATATATTTAGTATATTCAACAGTCTATTAATATATTTTCAACTAGTCTAAACTGATATTGATTTTTTGATTTGGACTAGTAATAAAAATCGGGTTCTAAATATTTAGATCTTAATCTATAACAATTCTTGATTCAAGATCACCATTAAATGGAATTCCATCAAACGTTCTTTGGCTGAAATCTTAGTAGCAATAACTCCAAGACTATAAATACTTGATGCTTTACCCACCAAAATCTCAGGTGCTATATACAGTAGAATTCCACAAATTAGTTTAATTTTGATCTCTATAGTACTAATATTTTCAGAAATTTTTTTGTTTCATATAGCTTACTAGTATACATGTCTTGTAAATGTATTGTTTAATATTTTCTGGTTTAATCTTATTGGTTTCCAAGAATTATTTTTGATTTTATTATTATCTTTCAAATCCATTTCATCAAACCAACAAGTAACTATAAGTAGGTTGTTTATCAAAATCTCTATTTATACATTTCATAACTAATTCAATATAAAAATCGGGTCCTAAACATTTAGGTCTTGATTCATAACAATTCTTGATTCAAAATCACCATTAAACAGAATTCTATCAAACATTCTTTGGCTGAAACCTTAGTAGCAATAACTCCGAGACTATAAATACCTAATGCTTCACTTACCGAAATCTCAAGTACTATATATGGTAGAATTCTACAAATTAGTTTAATTTGAATCTCTATAGTACTAATATATTTAGAAAATTTTTTTTGGTTTATATAGCTTACCAGTATACATGTTTTGTAAATATATTGTTTAATATTTTCTGGTTTAATCTTATTGGCTTCCAAGAATCATTTTTGATTTCATTATTATTTTTCAGATCCATTTCATCAAACCAACAAGTGATTATCAGTAGATTGTTTATCAAAATCTCTATTCATATATCTCATAACTAATTCAATATAAGAATTGAATTCTAAGCATTTAGGTCTTGATTCACAACAATTCTTGATTCAAAATCACCATTAAACAGAATTCCATCAAAGTTCTTTGGCTAAAACCTTAGTTCAAAACTATAAATACCTGATATCTGGATATATGGTTTACCCACAGAAATCTCAGTTGCTATATTCGGTAGAATTCCACAAATTAGTTTAATTTGGATCTATATAATACTAATTTATTTAGAAATTTTTTTCATTTTATGTAGCTTACTAGTATACATGTCTTGTGAATATATTGTTTAATATTTTCTGGTTTAATCTTATTGGCTTCCAAGAATCATTTTTGATTTCATTATCATCTTCCAGATTCATTTTATCAAACCAACAAGTAATTATTAGTAGATTGTTTATCAAAATCTTTATCCATATATTTTATAACTAATTCGATATAAGAATCAGGTTCTAAGCATTTAGGCCTTGATCTATAACAATTCTTGACACAATATCACTATTAAACAGAATTTCGTCAAATGAAATTTTAGTTGCAATAACCCTGAGACTATAAATATTTGATGCTTAAGTATATATAGTTCACCCACCAAAATCTCAGATACTATATACAGTAAAATTCCACAAATCTTTTTTAGAAAATCCAAGATCTGTAATATAACTTATACGCTATTGAACAAGTTTGCAAAATATTTTCATTGTGTAAATCTCTGTATATAAATTTTTGCGACTCAAGGTCCAAAGCTTTATCATATAAACTGTTCAATCTATTTTTCTATTCCAATTTGTGATATTGTGCAAGATTTTGTTGTAGTGAACCTTTTTAATCTACATAGTAATAATATAATCACCATAATCATTTCTTAATATTCTGATACAAAAGATTCTCATAAATTCCTGGATAAATTCTTGCTCATTTTTGTTTAAATGAATCATCTTAAGTGCAACATTTCTATATATTATTAATCTATTGAACCATGTTGTCCTATATACAGTTGCAAATTCTCCTTTTCTCTGTTTCTCAATATCTTTGAACTTATTATATTTAATTTAAGATAATTTAATTCTTTCATTGTCTGTTATAAAGATAACTTTAATTAATCGCAAAGATTGAACTTTGTCTTGATAGCAATCAAATATTAACTCACTAAAATCCAATCAAGTTAAAGTAGTATTCTTTAAAATGCATCTTACTCTAACCCAAAGCTTTACTATATACAATTTGAATCTAAAAAAAAATTAGCATAGTGTTCTTAAAAGTGTATATACAAAGACTATTAACTTAGTTTCAAATATAGAGTATTGGTTTTGCATAGCACATTCGTTAGTGTCTTTTGTCTTCTAATCCAAGATTAATGATTCTAAGTAGCTAGTGTATTAATTATTTAATATATATTTGCTAATTGTTTTTCTTTAGTTAATATACTTTTTAATTCTTCTAAACCTAGACCTCCATATGGGCCGAGTAGTAATACCTTAGCCCTACCCATTTACTAACAGGCTTAATCTCCAAGCCCTTACTCTTACCCTAGGGCTCTAGAATTAATACGCTAGCCCGGCTCTTAAAGCCCGCGAGTACCTATGGGTACCCACAGGCTTGATACTAATATGTTAGTATAGTATATATTTATTATTTGTAATATTTAAAATATTACATATTATGTAGGTTTAAATTATTATACACTTGTAACTAAAAATATATTCAAAGTACAAGTTTACTATATAAATTTTCCACAAATAAATATTACTTATTTAAAATTTTAAAGCAATATAGTCAGATTTGATTTTAATACAATATTAACTGTTATTAAAAATTCTGCTAATTATATATTTCAATTTTGTGATTACGATTATGAGAATGAATTATTTAAAGATCTGATGAAATTTATTGTAGTGAATTTATTTTTTTAAATCTATTTGTACTATGTATCGGCTATGCTTTTTCTTTTGTTTATTGAAAATTATTATTAATGAAGTTAAAATACAATTTATAAAACAGTTTTTAAATATATAAAAAAAATATATATTAGTATACATACTGTAATTATGCAAAAATTATTTGCCTAATTTAATAAACTTACAAAAGTTTATTGTTCAATTCTTTCAAAGTTTTGTTTCTGCAAGGTTTACTAGTTAATGCTCTTTTTCTTTCTAATTAAAAATTATTACCACAAAAAACTACTGCACTTAAAGAACATTTATAAAGCTTAAAAAAAAAAAGAAAAGAAGCTTATAGACTTTGAAGTTACATACATAAAAATTATTCATATAACAAACTTACAATAAAGTTCAGAATTTCGACTCTTTCAAGGTATTGTTCTTACAAGTGAACTAGCTAGTGCTTTTTCTTCTTTCGATCAAAGATATTACTACAATACTAAAGTGAAGAAAATGCTATATATTTCAAAAAAAAAAAAATTAGTGGATAGTTATATGCACATATAATGGGCTACTCTAGGATATATGAGCCAGGTAGTGTTGGTATTTAAGCTCTACCTATATAATATAAAGGCTTGCAATTTTTAGCCTTACCCTACCCTAGGGCTTGTAATTTGATGTCCAAGTCTGGCCCTAGTAGTATTACCTTTAGGGTACTTGTTGGTAGCCCCGGCCTATGCAGAGGCCTATCTAAACCTAAGCACATCTAAACAGTTTTGGAACAATAACTATAAAAATAAAGCTTAGATATATTACAACTACATAATATAAGTAATTTAAATATTTTAATAAATCTCATACTTGCATAGCACAACATAGGTACTATATACTGTAGTAATGTTTTATAAATTCTGCTTTTGAAGTGTAGCATATATTTAAAAATGAGAAATCTCTATAAGTTTTTATTGTAAAATAAGCTAAGAACAATAAATTATTAATTACCGAGTGATTTAATTAATATTGGATTTATCTTAGTAAATGCTACATGCTTACAAAGTAAAGACTACTAAGAAAAAATATAAGGGAGAGGGGGGTATTATGACGCAGGTAGGTATTGTGACACACTCGTGTTTTTTGACGATATCTCGTGATACATTGATCAGAATCGAGCAATTTTGGTATCATTT